TGTCCAAAGTAGCACGAAATGCACTTGTAGGATGGGAATCTCACGGATCCAGAATCATCAAAGCATCATTCAAAACAAAGAAGGAGGGGATCTTAATGAATATTATCCAATGTTATGCACCCACCAATGATAGCAACGACGACATTAAAGATCAATTCTACGAGCGGCTGCAGTCAGCGATAGAGAAATGCCCAAGAAAGGACCTCACCATTCTAATGGGAGATCTAAATGCCAAAGTCGGAATAGACAACACTGGATATGAAGATATTATGGGACGACATGGACTGGGAGAAAGAAACGAAAATGGAGAAAGATTTGCAAATCTATGCGCATTCAACAAATTGGTCATAGGAGGCACAATATTTCCACACAAGCGTATACACAAGGCTACATGGATCTCACCGGACCACACTACAGAGAACCAAATAGATCATATTTGCATCAACAAAAAATTCCGAAGGACAATGGAAGATGTGAGAACCAGGAGAGGTGCTGACGTAGCTTCAGATCACCACCTAGTTGTAGCCAATTTGAAACTGAAGCTAAAAAAGAACTGGACAAGTGGACAAACAGCAATACAAAGGTTCAATACAGCCTTCCTTCGAGATACTGTCAAACTCAATGAATTCAAGATAGCTCTCAACAACAGGTTCCAAGCCTTACGAGATCTACTGAAAGAAGAAGAAACTACTATGGAGGACAACTGGAAAGGCATCAAGGAAGCATTAACTTCAACGTGTCAAGAGGTTCTCGGTCTAAAGAAATACCATCATAAGGAATGGATCTCTACAGAAACAGTGGACAAGATCAAAGAAAGGAAGAACAAGAAGGCAGCAATAAACAACAGCCGAACACGAGCAGAGAAAGTCCAAGCACAAGCTGAATACATAGAAGCAAACAAACAAGTAAAGAGGAGCATTAGAGCCGACAAGAAGAAATACGTTGAAGAACTAGCAACGACGGCAGAAAAAGCTGCTAGAGAAGGAAACATGAAACAGCTTTACGATACAACGACGAAACTATCAGGGAAATACAGTAAACCAGAGAGGCCGGTCAAAGACAAAGAAGGCAAGCCAATCACCGAAATTCAACAACAACGTAACAGATGGGTAGAATACTTCGAGGAACTCCTGAATATGCCGGCTCCAATGAATCCACCGGACATCGAAGCAGCACACACAGATCTTCCTATAGATGTCAATCCACCAACTACGGAAGAAATTAGAATGGCCGTCAGACAAATCAAGAACGGGAAAGCAGCAGGACCCGACAACATACCAGCTGAAGCACTGAAATCAGACATCGAAACAACCACAAGCATGCTTTATCTTCTATTCAAAAAGATTTGGGAGGAGGAACAAGTGCCGATGGACTGGAAAGAAGGACACCTCATCAAGATTCCAAAGAAAGGAGATCTGAGCAAATGTGAAAACTACAGAGGCATAACACTACTGTCAATACCAGGGAAAGTCTTCAACAGAGTGTTGCTGAACCGGATGAAGGATGCAGTAGACGCCCAACTTCGAGATCAACAAGCTGGATTCCGTAAGGATCGGTCGTGCACAGACCAAATTGCAACACTACGGATCATCGTCGAACAATCAGTTGAGTGGAACTCATCATTATACATCAACTTCATTGATTATGAAAAGGCATTCGACAGTGTAGACAGGAGGACGTTATGGAAACTTCTTCGACACTACGGAATTCCTGAGAAGATTGTCAATATAATCCGGAACTCATACGACGGACTACAGTGCAAAGTAGTGCATGGAGGACAGCTGACAGATGCATTCCAAGTAAGGACCGGAGTCAGACAAGGCTGTTTACTCTCTCCCTTCCTTTTTCTCCTGGTGGTCGACTGGATTATGAAGACCTCAACATCTGAAGGAAAACATGGAATACAATGGACAGCTCAGAATCAATTAGACGATTTGGACTTCGCAGATGACCTAGCCCTCCTATCACGTACACACGAACAGATGCAGATGAAGACAGCCAGTGTAGCAGCAGTCTCTGCATCAGTAGGCCTCAGCATACACAAAAGGAAAACTAAGGTCCTCAAATTCAAAGCGGAGAACAGCAATCCAATCACTCTTGATGGCGAAACTCTGGAAGATGTAGAATCCTTCACATATCTGGGAAGCATCATCGATGAACAAGGAGGCTCAGATGCAGACGTAAAGGCGAGGATCGGTAAAGCAAGGGTCGCATTCCTACAATTGAAGAACATATGGAACTCAAAACAACTTTCAACCAATATCAAAGTGAGAATCTTCAATACGAACGTCAAGGCAGTTCTACTGTATGGAGCTGAAACTTGGAGAACTACAACAACCACAATCAAGAAAGTACAAGTATTTATAAATAGCTGCCTTCGCAAGATACTCAACATCCATTGGCCGGATACCATCAGCAACAGCCTTCTGTGGGAGAGAACAAAGCAACTTCCAGCTGAAGAGGAAATTAGGAAAAGACGATGGAAATGGATAGGACATACATTACGCAAATCGTCAAACTGCATCACGAGGCAAGCCCTAACTTGGAATCCTGAGGGGAAGCGAAAAAGAGGAAGGCCAAAGAACACATTGCGTCGGATAATAGAAGCAGATATGAAAACGATGAATTACAACTGGACGGAGCTAGAAAGGATTGCCCAGGACAGGGTTGGATGGAGAACGCTGGTGAGCGGCCTATGCTCCTTCACGAGGAGTAACAGGCGTAAGTAAGTAAGTAAGTAAGTCTTCCAACTCATCCGAGCCACTGGCAGCAAGAAGTTTGGTGTGAGCGAGGATGACGGGATGCCAATCACTAACATCCATCGACGTCTTGGACGATGGGCAGAATTATATGAAGGGTAGTTCAACTAGCCTGCTGCTCCAGCAACATCGGTCGGACTGTTCTGCCCTCCATGGCCGGTGATAACTGATCTACCAAATGAGGTGGAAGTACGCAAGGAACTCCAACTCTTGAAGCGCTACAAATCACTGGGTCCAGATGACTTACCCTCGGCTCTTTTTATAGATGGTGGTGACTTTCTGGCTGAGGAATTGACGACGTTGTTTACAAAGGTCTGGGAACTAGAGAGTGTACCAATGTCATGGAATGAGTGGATAGTTGTCCCAATCTTTAAAAAGGGTTCACGTCGTTCCTGTAACAACTATCGGGGGATAAGTTTGCTTCCGATTGCGTCCAAGTTATTGGCTTCCGTCATACTTTGTAGGTTGTTCAAAACCCGAGAAAGATTGACTCGCGAGGAGCAGGCTGGTTTTCGTTCTAGTCGAGGATGTATTGATCATATCTTCACCCTCCACCAAATGTTAGAACACCGTCATACACATCACAGGCCAACAATCGTAGTGTTTCTTGACATCAGGGCTGCCTTCGATTCGTTGGACAGGACTGTTCTCTGGGATTGTCTATTGAAGAAGGGTGTGCCTGAGAAGTTTATTAACATCCTAAAAGCCCTATATACAAACACCTCAGGCAGAGTGAGGGTATACAACCACCTTTCTCCATTGTTCTATTCGAGCAGTGGGGTTAGGCAAGGTTTTCCCAATCTCACCATTCCTCTTCAACTTTGCCATCGATGACATTCTGGAGACAGCTCTGACAGATGTAAGTAATGGTGGTGTGGATCTGTTGCCTGGAGAAAGACTTCTCGACTTCGAGTATGCGGACGATATTGTCTCACTGTGAGATGATGCCCAAGTCATGCAATCCGCACTTAACCAGTTGGCAATCAGTGTCCGTAGGTATGGTATGTGCTTTGCACCTTCGAGGTGCCAAGTACTTCTACAAGACTGGCAGGATTCCAATCCTGTACTCACTCTGGATGGTGAGCAGATAGACGTAGTCGAGAAGTTCGTGTATCTAGGTAGCTGCATAAGTGCTGGTGGGGGCGTGAGTGATGAGATCAATGCACGTATAGTGAAAGCCAGAGCGGCTTATGCCAATCTGGGCCACCTTTGGCGCCTTCGTAATGTTAGTCTGGCTGTAAAAGGTCGAATCTACAGCGCGTCGGTGAGAGCAGTTTTGCTCTATGCTTGTGAAACCTGGCCTCTCCGAGTTCAGGATGTTAGACGACTCTCTGTGTTCGATCAACGCTGTCTCCGAAGGATTGCTGACATCCAATGGCAACACCATGTTAGTAATGTAGAAGTTCGGCATCGTGTGTTCGGCCACAGAGACGATAATTCAATAGGTGTCACCACCTTGAAACATCGACTTCGGTGGCTTGGGCAAGTTCTACGAATGTCGTCCCAGAGAATTCCACGTCGTGCATTATTTGCCGACGCTGGAACTGGTTTAAAAAAGCGGATAGGTGGTCAGTCTACGACATGGTGTCGTAATATGAAAGAAGGATGTATAAGACTGCCTTATGTCGGTCTTTTGCGACTCCCTGGCTGGGGTCCTAGAAATGGCGCAGCACAGTGGCTAGAGACGTTATCAGATGTGGCTCAGAATAGAAGCCAGTGGCGATCCTGCTGTAAACTTCTCTTACTTTCTTCATAAAAAATGGTTGTTTTTTCCTTAACTGAAAGATTCCTTCTCATTGTACCTTTCCGTTTCCCCCATTATTACGATTATTATTATTATTATTATTATTATTATTATTATTATTATTATTATTATTATTACACTACCTTACACTAATCTGTTCGTTATTGTTCTTTTTTCACGCTCCTTACCTTCTTTTCTTTCTCTTCGAATTCTCATTGTTTTGTGTGGCGCATATATATTTGGTGCCCTCTTGTACAAATATTTATGTGTTTAAATAAATAAATAAATTGATGAACTAAATATGGGATCTTAGCGGACAGTAAGTCAAAAATTGTAAGTATATTAACTAATCACACCTCTCTCTTATATAGCAATAATTGAAGTAGCTTTATTTGCTTTGAAATTACAAAGCTCTATTTGGCATACCCACTTCGCACTCAACAATCATTAAAAACGCGCTGATTTCAACTACAGGGTTCTAAAGTGAAGCAAACACGCGAGCAACGAGGGTAGTAAAAATAATGTCTAAAAATATTATAACAGACTAAATACGCAGCAATGAACACAGACAAAAAGTCTGATTAAAAAATTAGAAATAATTTTTATTTCAGACTTGTTTACAGCTGTACAATGACAGGTGCTTCATCTCCATCCCAGTCAAATTCTTCAATAGGAATTTCGGTTATATTTGGAGTACACCTTTGTAATAACTGATATGAAGTGATCATATCCCATTTGAATCGATGTTTTATGCTATGAGCAAAGCCATCTGCACGTTTAAAGAGATCTTTCAGAATATTACTAGTTTCACTGGGACATGTTTTGTTAGTTATATCAGAAGTACAAACAGAATAAATATTTTTCAAAAGACGCCCAATCATAGTTGGTAAAAAGCCAGGTTCGGTTAATTTCCACTGTGTACTTGAGCTAGATGATTCCGAAAAGAAAATATCGAGTAACTCCACAGCTGAATTGCTACTTGACACCTCTGATCTATTTGCATTAGTTAACTGGTGATAAATAACTGTAATGAAGTCAATGTACAAATTAGGATAATTAACAATCGCTTTCTCACAATTAGCGAGTAATTGGAATATACGACGCCACTGTTCCCAGCCTTCCATTGAATGATCTAAAATGGAAAGGTCAAGGCAAATACATCCATCGCTAAAATCACCGTAACAATTAATCTCATAAAAATTATATTAGATACCTAGTTGGGTTTAAGCACATTTCGGAGCGTTTACTATGACATCCAATATATCACTAAAGCTAATAAGATGTAAAATTTGAATTATAAGATCACAAACTATCATTTCAACATCAGCCAATAAGTATATATATATATAAAATAAAAATACGTACTTAATAATAAATTGAGAAAAGCAAATTGAAATTCACCGAGCAGCTCGCGAGCAGATTCCAGATCCTTACTTAAGCCACTGGCCTTTTCTGAATTGATGCTCGAGAAGATTACATCCATAGTAGTACGAAGAGTATATGTTTGATCCATACAATGGGCAGTGATTTCCGATGGAGATGAAAGAGGTGGATAAAGTGGTTTTGTTGGAATTGAAGTAAAACGTACCTGAGGTGGATGAGATATGGAAATTTAGCAAATCTATCGAGAAATATTTTGTGTTAATTGTTTTACAAGTAAAACACAAAATAATTCAGACTGCATAACACCAAACTTTCTGATCATAGACGCTACTCTGATGTGGTGGTAGGACTTGACTTTTGTAACAACCCAGTTACGTTACATTGGCTACAGCACTCATCCTAACACCCTAGGCAGTATAGCAATAAACATTTGTTCCAGGTGTTTGCTTTGTTCATAAAAACAGTGAACTCATTACAAGGGCAATCAGTACTAGATTGAGGTAACACTACGGTTTTTTACTACTAAGAAAAAGGACGTTATGCCATTACTAAAGATTTATACAGGTCACAAGATAAAGAGAACAGGCTTACTAAACAAATCCATACCCATGAACTAGGTGATGACACAAACTACTACTTAGTGTTTAGATCTTGATAAACCAAGAATTCAATAATTTCAAGTCGAATACAAAGACGAATGAGTCACATTTCCACAAGATATCGTCTAAGGAATTTGCTTGAAGTTTACACTACTAAGACCGAATGAAGCTTGAAAATATCAACCAAATATTACTCAAATATTAAGATTATTATTATTATAGAAACCTTAACTTTGTATGAGTGAAAAGCAAACAAAATAATGCTTACCTCTGTACCAGGAATAATAGATAAATTCGGCAAGAGGTCTTCTGAATTTTTATTTGGACAGCTAGTCGTATAGGAATTTTTAAGAGCCAGGCGTTCTTGGGTATTAGAGGGTTCAGATAAGAAGTGTGGACAGGAATATAGACGACCACAGTAGGGAACAAGACGAGTTAATGTACATGTTGTTATAAAATTAGACAACGAAATCCAATCTCTGTGTCTAGATTTACAAGACAGAGTTGGGGATGTAAACGATATACTAAAATAAAATAACTAAACATTAGAAACTAGATAAAACTGAGAATCTCAGTTTGTGAGACAAATCTGGTGAATATTAAACATAGTTGAAAAAATATAATAAAGTATGTACACATTAATCCATTTACTTGCACTGTAACACGATATTAATCAGCAATTCAATAAAGATTAATATCAATACAGTTTTAAATACACTGGACTTGATAGGACTAATCACCACCACAGCGCTTTTCAATATCTAACAGGTTTTCAATTATCTATGAGCAGAATTTTTATTGGTAAACAACGCTGAAACCAAAAAATATCCTCCTCTCTGAGTAACTCTCAAGATTAACTCAGGACAAAGTTTTTAAGATAACAGGAAATATGACACTGGAGTCATATTATTTGAAACTCAAAATCTAACTAGTACGTAATTATAATAAAGATATCATTATTACCTTTAGAACACAAATTACCGTCACATAAAAAATTACTGTTTCACTTCGAAATTCAAATTCCATATGATAACAAAGGAAATAAAAACAAAAATGGATTAAATAAATCAATTCATAAGAACATCTCAGTGTTACATGATACACGAAATATATTATTGAAGTAATAGAAAGAAATGTTAAAGGAAAGTTAAGCGATCGTTCAAAAGATGAGTTAGTCGTCGACAGAACGTATAACGAGCTTAAATCTCGAGAATCCTTTTTGTCTCATTTGTATGACCTATCAAGCAAATATTTCAAGCGTATCCGTTAGGATATTATAACCCTTTTAAAGAGCAATAAACATTTAACTTCCTAAATAAGCTACCATGGAAACTAATGGCTCTATAAGATAAGTAACTTGACAATTCGACAGAAGAAAATATCACGATAATGAGAGTTCTGATCTTTAAACGGTAATTGTTTAAGTCAACCCTAGTGTAAATGACTTACGACTCCGCAGGATACTGCCCCAGATACATAGAAATTTCATCGAAATTCGAAATAATACGTTCTACTTCGTTATCAGTCAAATTAATATCTATGAAATCTGGACAAGAGGACGAAAAAGTTATTGGTCTTTTAAGCAATATATAACGAATTACCCTCTTTTTCTTTTTGCCACTTCTTAACAATGAAACCAGGTTGAGTGAAATTTGCTACGAATCCAACACGTTGACCTGACATACAGTCTGAATTTACGGCACTGTTTAAAAAAGAGACAAGTAGAACAATAGAAGTCATGTATATTACTCCAGAAATTTTCAAGCTAATTGAAATTTAAGTGGATAACTCTACTAACCAGTCTCAGAAAAGGCTACACTTTATGGTCTACTTCAGCTGTCTCAACCTAGAATAGCATTTTCTTTCACTAACCATTCAACTGATAAGAGGATAATTTATATCACGCCCATTTTGACAAAATCCCCAAACATATTATATTTTATGAATAGGAATTTATTAACGCTTAGATGTTACAAGACAAGTGTTAAGAAAGAAATGCTCACTAACAAACGTCCCATTTAACTGAGGTTGGATACTCTGCAGTTATAGTGACAAAATAGATGTTTGAGGTAAAATCTTCATATGAATTACGAACTAATCACAAGCTTGTAAATATACTCATCGAGTAAGGGTGAGGAATATTATCTAACCTCTAAGAGCAAAGTGATGGAAAATCAGAGTACCGGATATCTCTCATTAAAAGAGAGAAACAATTTTTTTATATGATGATCTACAGGCGGGTTTAATTTTATGGTTTTGCTGATTATCACAGGTTAGATAATTACCAATTATAACAAATAATACCCGACGGTTCGCTGTACAAAATCAACAATATGGTCCACTTAACTTTACTGAGTAAAACAGTGAAAAATCTCTTATCGCTCTACGAATGTTCAACTTCAGGGAAATATTCAGATGATATAAGTTTTATCATACCCGAGGATTTCCCTGACCTAATTGTTTTTAGTATCGAGTTCGATTTAAAAATATTTCATTAGGATAACTCCATTTCTGCACTTGTTACTTAAATCTCAGATGTTTTAAAGGAGGAAATCTTTGAACCAATCACAAGACGAAATCTGTAGCAGAAATCAAAAGACCGCTTTCGCGTAAAAAGACAATTTGCTCATTGTCCCAACTTACCTATAATAGACAAAGTGTACTCCTAGAGGTATATCTTTGATGCCTTTAAAGTGTTTGCCAACCCTCCAAAACTTCAGATCAATCCCTAACTCTGTGTTTTCGGGAACATCATGCAAAATCAGTTGACAATCTTTCATTGATCCCAGATTGATTTTCAAATAGCAAAACTAAGTGGTTATCGATGAAACTTTACTCTTGAGTTGTTTACGACTCAGCCAATTCTAAACAGCGCTCAATATTTGAAGTAATTCGTTTCTTTGAGTATTTTTAGAGGTTAGAACTTCATGTGAGTCCTCAGGATCAGTGAAAACTATTTTGAATAAAAAGCATTTTTAACATAGGTGTGTAAGTGATAGTCCGAAGTGCTAAAGAAAGTTGTAACTTTATCGAATAAATGTGATTACGTCGAAAAAGATATAAGAACAGACAACGTAATAAAAATACCTCATATATTCTGTAATCTAGGCGCCCTTAATTTAACTCCATCTGTCCAACTAATCAGTCCCTGACAACTTGATGACCAATATTTAGTATTGATTTTACTAAGGTATATATAAAAGCTTAATTTCATCAATAAAAACTTCTACATAATCCATAATACTCCACAATACTCTTGTGACCTTAGATATGTAGCCATAACAAAAGCTCAACTATTTTGCCCGTATTCTGTTGATGTAACGTGAAAGAATGAGAAAACTCCCCTATATTTAAGGATTTACACAAACAATGGATACAAATTCCCAACTTAGGTGAATCGCCTGACAAATTTCATGAAGTGCAATCTCAGCATGACAACAGCAGTTACGCTCGAATGTTATTTATAATAATCACAATTAAATCACCGAATGTAATTAAGTCTTATGAATCAATACTCATAATTAAGGATAACTATACCTGGGTAAAACACAGTGGGGCTTTACTGGAAATCCTATGGCAACACACCGTTGAAGTTGGAAAACCAATAAAACGACTAACAAATTATTAAGGAAGTCAGTCAGCCAGCTACAATGTAGGACCAGGCACATATATGCAATGATCCAAGTTGCCACACCTCATTAGCACAAGGTGAACACCAAATTGATAGACGTTAATTCAATGGTAGTAAAAATAAAATAACATTTCGTAAGAGAATATAGTACAGGAAGAAATAATTAGTTGGTAGAAGGATATAAAGCAATTTTAATCTCATGGTTTAAGGAAAGACAAAGAGCGTGTACACTTACGCCATTGTGATCGATTCTGAGCCCTGTCACCCAGTCTCCAACTATTGGTTACGATAGTCACGCGCCTCTGAATGCCCTGGTACAGCCGAGTGAGGAGAGTTCGCTCTCTCTCTCGAAATGTTCTCACGTGGCCACGCGTATATAGCATCTGCCAGGGAAGTCCTACTCACTGCCTTCTCGTGGCGAGGGCGTTGTTTACGAAAATGAGAGGATGAAAAGCGAATGCCCGGCGCTCTAACCGGGTTGGTGGACACGGAGAGCCCACCTAGAGGAATTGGAAAACCCTGATTCCGAATCAATGGTGCACATGGGCTTCGGTACTCTGAAGAAACAAATGGCGTATGAACCAATTGTTGGTCACAGGCTACCATGGGACTGTATCTCCTTACGATGATTCACTGCCTTGTGGACCAGACATTCAGGTCGAAGGCTCTGAGTGTGGCCCCCTAAGGAAACCCCCTGCTTCTGTTTTGGCACCTGGGCAGTATCACAGCCCTCACACAAATCTCATTTGATTTGTGTGGCGCATATGTATCTGGTGCCCCCTTGTACCAGTATTTATGTGGTCAAATAAATAATAAGTGATAGTCACGCAGACGTCAACCAAGTAGTCTGCATCTACCAACATGGCTCAGACTAGAAGTTAGTGACTTCAAGAACTGATGTCACGTTTTTTTGGCCGCTCCTAACTTACTTCCAACCCTCTCCCACATCACTCAGCATTGAGCGTCGTTGTAATTAGTGATTGAACATACGCAACACGTGGCCCAATCATCTCAGTCGATGAAGTTGTAAATCTTCATCGACTGATTGACCATCGTTCCCTTGTACTCTGTGTTTAACCTCACTATTACTTACCTGATTCCAGCAGATGAGAGCAATATTTCTAAGACATTTGTGATCAAATACTAGTAACTTACGAGTATCCTCTCTTAATGACCACGTTTCGCAGTCGCAAAGTAGAACAGGACGAACTGTCGCGCAACATACTCGTCCTTTTATTGGTAGACGGATATCTCGCCTAATCCATAGGTGACGTAAGTTGGCAAAAGTCAAACGAGCTTTCTCAATCCGTGCAGAGATTTCGTCAGACACCAACCCACTACGGCTGATCAGACTTCCAAGATAAATAAAGTTGTCAACGCGTTCGACTACTTCACTTCATATCCTTAGTTCTGGTGTTGATGCACGCTAGTCCTGAAGCAATAACTTGCATTTAGAGGAGGAGAAACACATCCCAAACATCTTGGCATTGTTGCTCAGTGCTACCATAAGACTGCATTTCATCGGCGTCTTCACCAGGCAGGACTATGTCATATGTGTATTCTAAGTTGATAAGTGAACCTTTTGGTAGGAGATCAATTTCTGAAAATTCAGACGACAAGAACGTTATTTACAGCAGTTGGTCTATGATGAAGTTGAACAATAATGAAGATAGCCTTGTTAGACATCACTTAAGGTTACAAAATCAGATGATAGTTCGCCATAAGCTGTGAATCGACTGGTAGCGTTCGAGTAAAGAACCTTCACAAAGTTTATGTACCTCTGAGGTACGCCTTTCAGAGACAGACTGTCACAGAACCTCTCGGTCTACATAGTAAAATGCTGCCTTTAAGTAAGGAAAAAATATCATTGTCGGATGTCAATAAGCACACAGGTGTTCTAAAACCTGAAGAATAGTGAATATGTGGTTGATGTAGCCACGATCAGGTCTAAAGCCAGTTTGATTTTATCGTGTTTTCAGTTCATGAGTCCTTTTTAGGTGTCCGATAATTAATGAGGCTAGTATTTTAGACACTATATTAGTCAAGCTAATCCCTCTATGTTTGTCATAGGATGATTTCGATCCTTTCTTACATATTGAGAAGACCAGTGATTGCGACCAGTCAGATGGGATTACGTCCAGTTCCAGGTTTCAGCTGATATATTAGTCAACCTAATCGCTAATGAGGTTTGGCAACTTAGACCGATGTATATATGTGCCCAGTCCTACGTTATAGCTAACTGACTGACTGACATTTGGACCATCTGCTCTTCGTCATTTCAGATTAGCTATAGCTTTTTGAACTTCAACTAGAGTTTGGGGGCCTACTTCAATGTTCCATTCAGGCTGTTTGGGAATGATGGGTAGTTGTAGAGTAGGTGAAGGCTTGCTGAACTGCTCCTTAGAGTGTTCCACCCATCGTTCTGAACGTCTGGGATGAGGATAGATGGAAGTGCCGTCTTTTTCCGAGATCGTATCACTTACATTTGACTTCTTATTTATTTATTTGAACACATAAATATTGGTACAAGAGAGCGCCAATATATATGCGCCACACAAAACAATGGGAATTCGAAGAGAAGTAGAAAGAAAAAAAAACTAAGGAACGCAAAAGAAAAAGAGAGTAATGACGAAGAGGTACAATCAGAAGAAATCTTTCAGGTAAAGGAGGCACAACCACTTTTTATGAAGAAAGTAAAAGAAGGTTACAGCAGGATCGCCACTGGCTTCTATTCTGAGCCATATCTGATAACGTCTCTAGCCACTGTGTAGCACCATCTCTCAGACCCCAACCAGGGAGTCGTAAAGGACCAACACAAGCCAGTCCTTTGCAGCTTTCTTTCATGCCACGACACCATGTCATGCACTGACCACCTCTCCGCTTCTTCCAACCAGTCCCAGAGTCGGCAAATAATGCACGACGTGGAATTCTCTGGGACGACATTCGGAGAACATGTCCAAGCCACCGAAGTCGGTGTTTCAAGATGGTGACACCAATTGAGTTATCATCTCTGTGCCCGAACACACGATGCCGAACCTCTGCATTACTGACATGGTGTTGCCACTGAATGTCAGCAATTACTTTTGTCGCTTTGAAAAAACATTTGACTTCTTAATTCCGGTTTATTTCATAAGCCTGGAAAATTTGTCTTGTGAAACCTACAGCCGCTGCCTTTTCCATCTCTTTTGCTTTCTTTGCCCACCACTGCTCACGATAGTTCCGTAGACGTTTAGTTAACCTCGATCTAACTTGTTTTCGCTCTGCATCGTATTTAGAACCTGATGGGATGAGTTTACAAAAATCTACCAGTGCAATAGATGTCGCAGAAACCCACTAGTTTTTCGTAACCCATTGGTTCAAATCACTAGTAGATGTCACTGCAGTTTCCAAAGCTGTTCGTTGCTACCTTGACGTGGTGGTCGGGCTTGCCTATCGTGATGAAGCAACCGAGCTATACTGGCTGGAACAATCGTTCCTCAAGGTCTTACCATGCCAGACAGGTCGGTTAAAGAGCGGTAAGACTAAAAGCAACAAACCCAAGGTCCGAAGGCGAAGTCGTACTGCTGACTGTACAGAGGTGTGACAGCAGTAAGGTGTTTCCCTCAGACAACCAGCATGACAGCGGTGCTGCTTTCCCACAAGGAGGGGTGGGGTTAGAAAAGGTTGACCTTAAAAATGCACACCTCACGGATATCCGTCTCCGGCGGTAAGGTCTCAACAAGTACGGAGCTAACACAAAAATTACCCATAAAAGGTCATGTGTGACCGACCTCAAGCAGTTGTCCATTGGGCATTGCGGTCACGCTCTCAGGTCACTAAGACCACTTCTAATCCGATTTCCTTTTCAGGTACCTCCAGAAAAACCCTTCGACGGTGTGGGCAACCGGGAAGTGACAACCACCCTCATACATCTAACAGCACTCAAGACCACTGTATTCATAATCAACCTCCGTCTTCAGTTCCTATTATTCCTCCTACATCGACTTTCACCTCTAAACGTCCTTTTTCGGCTTCCTTCTCAAGTGTCACCATAACCAACGATTCTAGTGCTCAAAAAACTGTTTCAGGTCTACTGAAACTTCGCTCCAAACTACACATTGGAGCCTTCAACGTACGCACCCTGTCAAATCGGTCAACAGGCTTCCTTGGCTAGAACCCTAGAATCTCGTACCATTGATATATGCTGTGTCTCTGAAACACGCATACAGGAGAGCCGGCGAGATACACCCTCCGTGTATCTGGTGACCCGACGGCCAGTTCTCGTGGACTGGCAGGAGTAGAGATAGCACTAAGCATGAGGGCGGAACAAGCACTGTTAGAAT